TAGTGCTGGCCTCCCCATGGCTTTCAGGTTCCCAATGCTCTCTTTCTTCAGGCTGGGCTGTCCTTGTGGGTGCCACATGGTTTGGTGGTCCACAGCTTCCCCTGCCCTCATCTTCCCCTCCCCTCGACGAGCCTAGTTTAAAGCCCGCCGGAGGAGATCCGCCAACCTAGAAGAAATTTATATATGGCCACCAGATCCGCTCTCAGGCTTCTCTTGTGGAGGCTGAACAGGTTCAGGTCTCGTAGCCTTTCCTCGTAGGGCCTGCCCTGCTGCCCCCTGATCATGTGAGTGGCCCTCCTCTGGACCCTCTCCACATTGTCCACATCCCTCCTGAACTGCGGCGCCCAGAACTGGACACAGTACTCCAACTGCGGCCTGACCAATGTCATATAGAGGGGGAGGATCACCTCCTTGGACCAGCTTATAAACCAGTTTCCAATCAGTTATACTGGTAAAAGTGTAATGTCTGTACCTGGCCAAAAAGGTCTGAAGTTGGTCTCTCAGAATTAAAAAAAAGACCTGCTAGCAAAAAGAAGAAGAAAAACCCTAGAGAAAAGAGTTACAGCCTGAAACTGAAATTTGCTGTATTTGTACTCAGAATAATGCAATCCACCTAGGTATGTTGGCAGTCTATCCACTGCTTGTTCTGACTGGTGATCATTTCCCTTAAACTATTTAGGTCTTTAAGTACTTGAGCATTGGTTTAATCCACTTCCACTACTTGTGGGTGGAATTCCATGCATGCTTTCTATGAGGTCAAATGATAAATATTGTGATTTTTATTGGCCGTGTGAGTTGCTTAAATGACACAAGCTACTGCTGCTTGTATGCACTTAGAATGTGTGATTCCATGTGACTTGAAATTTGTAGGAAAAACTAAAACCTATGCCCTGTGTATATTTAAATTCAAACAGAAGTTTAAGTGTATTCAGTTTAATACTTTATACATTTGTCTCTCTCTTTTTTCATTAAGGGAGGGAGGCAGGCTGTGTTGTCATGAGAACAGGAACTGCAGCTGGATTATGGGATGTTTTGAGCTGTGACCAGAAAACATTGTTCCTCTGCAAGCAGTTGGTGCAGGGAGCAACTCCTCCTCCTCCTCCAACAACAGCTCCTCCGCTCTCATGTCCAGAGGGATGGGCTTCATCCACCCATAGTAGCTTATGCTTCAAAGTAAGTATTAAATGTCTGTGATCAAAGCACTTGTTTTCATAAAATATACATTGGATAAATCCAAAGAAAACCTTGACTACAAATTTACCCAATAGCAAGTTATACTGAAGTAGCACTTTTATTCTGAGGGATGCATGTTGAAGAACCATATTCACATGAAACTAATGTATGGATTCATAGAGCATCAGGGAAGATAGACAAGAGGAGGATGAAACAGCCAAACTCAAGAAATGACCAGATTGCATAGATGAGGATTTTGTTAGTACAGTCAGAGCTTAATGGTTAAGCCTAGGCATAAACAGCTAGATGGGAGACAGGGACAGGGACAGTAAGCAGGATCAAAATAGTCATTTCTTGATTTCTTTGATGCTTGTACATTCTTTAATTATACTTTATTTTGCAGCTTTTTAGCAAAGAAAGAAAATATAAAAAGTCATGGTTTGAGGCTAGAGATTTTTGTAGAGCAGTAGGAGGAGATCTGGCTGCTATCCATACTGAAGAAGAACAAAACGTAATAGTTAAATTGTGAGTATCTGCACAACTTTATTCTTTCACTTTTGACATGTGACACGCACATAACAAAAATGTCCTTCAAGAAACAGTTGATTCCAACTGCAAATCTATACATTTATATCAATTTGTATCTCTGCATGGTTTTGGAAGTGGTATCAGGAGAGAAGGTGGCTATGCAAACAGGAATTGAGGAGGTAGTTCTGTGCTGGACAACAAGGAAAATGTAGTGGAGTAAAAGGGAAAGAAAGAGGCTACCAGGCTGATGTTGGTAATAGAACAGAAGTATAAGACTGGATTAGATATGTGCCTTGAAGCTAAGTGACTTTGGCCCTTGAAACCAAGGAAAATTGATTAGACTGTGCACTGTACATTTGTTGGGAGAGCTAGTAGCAGAGATTAAAAAATGGGATGAGTTGGTCAGAGAGACGGAAAGGTGGTTTTAGCTAACCATTGTGGATGGGCTCCCTGGTTTATATTAATGACACAGTCATCCAAGTGATGAAGTATTCTAAAGACACTGAGACTGGCACTTTAGCATAGAGAAAATAGGTTCAATTTGTAGTTAAGTAAAAAAAAAATTACAATATGAAAATGTCAAATTCATTTCCATTACACAGGTTTAAAAAAAGAACAGTCCTTGGATTTAATTTTTAAAACCAAAACTATTAAAGCACATTTTTGGTCATTCAGATGTTCAGTTTGAACAATCTTAATTTGCTCATTTTTTGAGTGGGGGCAGGGAGGGGTTTCATGGTCCTCTTTTCCATTAATGCTTAAAATAAAATACATGCTTAAATTAGGGCCTTAATTTGCATTTACACCTGAGATACTGTGTATAGTAACTCTGCAGTTGTAGTCTTTCTTGAAGAGAAGTGTGTATCATCCCTTGAGGCCAGTGTAAGTGTATTCATTTGTGGATACTGGGGATTAAATAATTACATTTAAATAATTTGCTGAGGGACCAAATATTTTGTATATCTACACAGAATGTCAGACTAATGTTACAGGAAACATTCAAACTTGTTGCCATGGTGCAAGTCTGAAGACACTTGTGTGAATCACACACATCCTTCTCTTCTAATGAAATATCCTGTGCTCCCTTTGCATATTTATATTCAATGCTTTAGGCGGAAAGGAGGTTATTCGTCTTCATATTACTGGATGGGTTTTAACAACTTGGATCCTGACAAAGGATATACTTGGAGTGATGGCTCTGCAGTAAGTAATTTACTTTTTTATAATATAGTTGTCTTTTGTAATACTGTTTCTAGAAATCTTTACAAGGCCATTTCTTGCTTCGCTCCTCCTTCCCCCCTATGCTACCACATGTGATCCTCCAGCAAAATTTTTGTGAATATATGTGGCATGTGGCAATATAATGCATCTGTTACTCACCATTGCATGCTTCTTTATGGTGGAACCTGATCAAAGTGTATGTGTCTATTTGAGTTGAAACATTTAGTAGCTGTAAAGTGTGAACTGTAGACTATAGTTTCGTCCTATAACCACCTGTAGGTTTGTTATATTGCTTTGGAAAATGTAATATCACTAGGTCCATGAAGAATTTCCAATCCTGCTGACTGAAGCAGTACAAATTAGAAGACTTTGATGTGGTCCATCAAAGAGATGGTTGATCAAATTTTGCTCCAGCTGAAGATTTTGAATGCTCTGCAAGATGGACCAAAGTAGAATGCAATAGAATAGTCCAATCTGAAGATGATGGAGTGGGTATGGCAAAGACAACATTAGACAAGAAAGGTTCCAATAGAAGATGGTAATAAGAAAATGACATGGCAACCACAACTTATTCAGATTAAACAATCACAACGCATTCAAAATTGGTTCCACTTAAGAACACTTATTTTATCTTTTGCCATGTTGCCCAGCACCTTAAAACTTCCTAATTTTCATTTGAATACAGCAAGCAGTATGTTTCCCCCCTCCTTTACATACTTTACATACATTTATAAACAGTTTTATAAAATGGATGAAGATAACCTAAGCAATGTGGCTTTCCAACTGTTCAGTTGACTGAAGTCATGAAGATACAAAGATACTTGTACACATGATTAGTCATAGGTGGGATCATCAGAATATCCAAGTAGTAGTTAAGACTAGGTTATAAACCTACTTTACTTCATCCTTATAAAGTATGTCATGGCTGATATCTCTTGTTTACATGGGATAGGCACAACTCCTTAAACCTATTACTATGTAAATTGCCCTAAGGAGTCACTACATAAGGTAAGGTCATTCTCCATTTCCTCATCCAGAGAGATCTGTAACATTCAGAGTCTTATAACTGGCCCAATGAGTACAATGCAGAGTTGAAATAAAACCACTTCTCTGTGGACGTCACAGTGCAGTGCTAGCTCATGATTCATCTTTAGAAGAAAGTAGTAACAGAGCTGTGTTTTTGTCATAGGTAAGTTATGAAAATTGGGCAGAAGGAGAACCCAATAACTATGGAGGAAATGAAAAATGTGGCATATTTTATGGATACAGTGACATGGAGTGGAATGATGTATTTTGTGAGAATATGAATTCCTGGGCTTGTCAAATACGAAAAGGTAACAAGGCTATAGGCAAACAGAGCACAGTGGTACAATGTAAGGATGGGAAATCAAATCTCCACATTAAATTTAGACCTTTTATTGCCACACTTGGTCTTCTTGAGGAAGAGACCACAAGCTGGTTGGAATAATGTTTATCTCAATTAGGGTGGTTTCTAGCATCTGTTTTCTGCAGGCTCTTCTGGATGGAAATAACTCTGTAAACCAAATGCGTCCTAAGACACATCAAAACACTTAATTTCTCTGCTCAGGAACAGTCTATACCTTTGAATTTTACTTCATGAAATGCATTTTAGGATACAGATTTGAGAGTAGTTTCCAATCTACACTTTGCATGGGGAATGTATTCCAGTAGGTTGATAGCATGAATATTTGCTTTTAATTGCAACTATATCTTGCTGGAAACTTAAAATATTGATGAATACTTTGTGAACTTTAACTTTCTTTCTGATATTTTATGAATTGTAACAGAAACATAACGTATCAAACAATGCTGGAGTTTGCATTACTTTAAAAATAACTTTCATTTAGAAAGTATTCCTTTGGTTTATCTCACATTCATATTTTATTTTTATTTTACAGGAGAATCTTTAAAACCAGAACCAAGTAACACATTTGGTAAGCTTTTTATTTTCTGTCACAAGAAACAAAATATTATATGATGATGCTTAATTTGTATTACAGATACTGTGCATGTGGTTTTATTATTGCTTTTGCAGAAGATCAATATATTCTTAGTGAAGATGGATGGATTTTACATAACGAAAAGGAGTACTATTTCAGCAGGGAAAAAATGTTCATGGAACAAGCCCGGGAGTTTTGCAAGAAAAATCATGGAGATCTTCTTGTCATTGAAAATGAAAGTGAAAACAAGTTTCTGTGGAAATATGTAAGATCTTGTTTTATTATATTCAAAAAGCATCATTCTGTGCAGCCATAGAAACATCTTTCAGTATCTGCTTTTCATGTACTGGAAGGCATGCAGCTATACTACATCCAGGCTCCTTTGAAAGGTCCTGGGTTGATCTACACTTGAAAATTTAGCTGAAAGCCTTTAGCTTCCTTATAAGGGGAGAAATAGAGAACAAAACATTGTTGCCACTTTCTAGAGCTGTCCTACTTGTTAGAGTTAAGAGAGATTTGACTAAATAAATAATTCAAAATCTGGCATTAAGTGACAGCCGGTAGACCAAATGAAAATTTCATAGAGATTCTCACACAGGATCCAAGGAAGCAGTTAATTCACCATTCTCCTTTGTCATTTTAGTACATTAATTGCAGTAAAGGATGGAAAGATAAATGTTAGGCCATTGATCTACCTTTGGAATAAAACCTGTAAAAGCTTTAAAAAAGGTTGAGAACCACTGCTCTAGGGTTAAACTTGAGGCACCCTGTGTTTGACTCAAGGCGCCCCTCATTTGACCCCTCCATAATTTTTGTGAATTGAGTAGCGCTCCATTTAAAAAACTCATTTATGTATAACAGTGCTTACGTTCTTTCAGAAGGACTGGGCAGTTGGGGCAGGGCCAAGGGCAGGCAAGGATAAACCTCAGCCTGCATTTATCTCCTCATACCAGCTTATCTCCTCAAACCTTGTGGCACCCTTCGAAAAATCTCACCCTACTCCATGGTATCCTGACATTCTGGTGGAAAATTACTGACCTAAAGAGAAAAGAATTAGAGCTTCGATGGATTTTTTTTTAAATTGATTAAATCAGTTTTCCCCATTTTTGTCAACATTTAAACATTTTAAAGGTTTAAGTTTTCAGTGAAAAACTAAAAGCCAAAACATTTCCTTCTCTTGACAACAACAATGCCAACAACCTATTTCTGAAGCTAACCACATTCTTTTGGAAAAAAGAAAAAACACACACACATTTGAGAAGAACATTATTTCATCAAATTAAAATCCAGAACATATCAATAGAAATTTCTGTCTAGCTTACAGGGGGTTTCTTATTCCATGCTCTCCCAAACTTGCAAATTTATTTTTAATTTATTGTCACATTTGCCTATCAGATAGGCTTTCCCATTATATAATAGCAGCTTTTCCTCTATTTCATTATCATTCCATTCACTTTTTACTGGTGATCAAGTAAAGGCCTTGAATTATGATTTACGTTTTCAGAATACTGCACAATTCTTTCCCCAATAGTGAGCTTATGATTGGTGGCCTATAGACTACGTACAAAAGTTACTAAGCCAACTTCCATAGAACAGATGTTTGCTTTATATTACAGCTATTTTGTTACATCTCATTAAAATCTTATCTCTATGTTTTAGAGCTACTATTATGGTTTTTACGATGACCTTTACATTGGCTTATATGTGAGTCTTGATAAAAAGTTTCGGTAAGTAAACAAGGACCATAAAGCTTGTCAAGCAGTACAAGTATTGCATCAGGCTATCTTGAATGACTTGCTAAAGTTTTCATTTCACAGGCTCATGAACTTGTTTGGGGATTAATTTTTCATCATGGTATCAAAAGAACATTTCAATGAAGTAAAATACATAGCTAAAACATATTTAAAAAAAAAATTTTTAAGAGAGAGAGAGAGAGAGAGAGAAGTTAGTGAATGAACAAATGTATTTCAAATTTTACCAGCTTAGATAGAGGTACAAAGCTGCTACTGCTAAGAAACCTATTTTCTCCTTAATTGGCAAAACAATTATTTTCTCCTACTTCCAGGTTTTCATCCTCATGATGATGCCTGGGTCCTGTACCTTTTGCACAATCAATAGCTTTGGACATTTCCCCTTCTCCAGCTGTTTTGCAAGGTGTCTTTTCTTTGGGCTTTTCTTTGGGCAAGGTGTCTTTTCTTTGGGCTTTTAATACCTTTTCCTGTATTTGTTCCATTTTCACTTCATTTATCTCTCTGAGCTTCATAGGCATCAATCAGTGTATTAGTTGATGTTTTGTTGGTAGAGTCAGTGCTGTGTTACTACTTCTGGTTGTTATCTTTTGCATTCTTCCCTCTTTTGATTTTGCAAGAGAGAGAAAAATGGCTTGAAGTTTTGAGGTGTGTTTCACTTGACTATATCATATCATAGGTAAGTACATGTCAGATGTGACAAAAATGCAATTAGGTGTCACCAGGACCTGCAACAGCCAAAACTCAGAACTTTTGTACTCCTGTTCTCATGGGAATCAATTTCTTGAACCAGTCTCAGAATCTAGGATAAATAAAATGCAAGCTCTATTGATTGATTCATTTTCCTACAGTATTCATCAAAATTATGAAGTGCTATGGCCACATACTGAATTCCTCTCAGAATTGTTGGTGAATTTTCCCATGTCTGTTCCCTAAGACATCATTCTTATCCCAGGGTCCCTCTTTTTGTATCTCTCTCCCTTTCCCATGCTTCAGTGCTGGATTAAAAGACCATCACTGAAACCTTGTTTAATTATGAAGCACTGCCGCTCTGACCTCTGCCATTCTTTCCCCTATTCAGGAACAGTCTTTTGGCCACAGCATTCAGCTAGTGGCACAAAAGGGCAGTCCTGTCTCTTGGAGCTATTGTTTCTTGTTTCTGCTATCTGGGCAAATTACAGGAAATTCTGTTTATTAAAGGGTTTTTTCCTCTCATTCTTTATTTTCACCTTCCTTCCTGATAGGTGATGTCACTTGTCTGTTTAATATTTCTCTTACTTCACTGTATACTTTTTCTTCGTATATGGCTCTGGAACTTTCTGTAACTACACACAATCTCTGTTCAGTTGTATATGATTTCCTTGCATTTTGCTTGCATGTTTGCATTTTGCTTTTGGAAGCATCCACAAACTTTTGATTAAGAGAATCTATTGATTTGACTTTGTGCTTGATAGTCCCTGACAATAAACCGTTTAGTAGATTACCATTTGATTGAGATTTTTTATTGTCTGTTATTTGGGAAGAATTTTACAATTTGAAAATCAGTACTGGATACATAAGGATAAACGTGTAAAGAAGGATGCCGAAAATAACTTTTGCTGGAGGCTATCAGTTTAAACTAGCTTGGGGCCAGTGGACTATGGAGGAAATTTCTGTCAAATCTATACGTAGGGATTCTGTCCATAGGCTGTTAATCTACAGATAAGTATGTTTCCAGAGAATAAGTAAAAGTAAATCATTATCTCATCTTGCAATTTGTTTTACAAAACTCTGAAGTAAAGTGTAGGTGGGGAAACAGACTATATCTATAACAAATGCGTCTAATTTGCTTAGTCTTATATTGTTTTAACTTGCAGCTGTTAATTATTACATTCATTTTAATTTTATGAACAAAGGGAAAATGTAGGTTAAAAAACAAGAAAATATTCTCAATTTGCTCTTCAGGATTTTGACCACAAGTGCTAAAAAAGTCACACAAGGTTCTTTGGGTAGAAGGGTGTTTGTGCCTGAAAGTTTGCAAAGAACAATTTTCCTAACTATTTAGCTGGTCTCATAAAAGATATCACATCCACCCAAAGAACCTTGTCTGCCTATGACCTTAGACCAATGTGGCTACAACCTACAACCCTAAAGCAAAGAAGTCACACACATAGAGCTATGTGCCCAAGTTGCTTTTGGTGTAGCTAGGATTTCTGTAATATAAAATAAAATGAACTAATGCAGCCTTCAAAAAGAACTTGATATACTCAATAATTTTGGAATGTAATTTCTTTTAGTTGGATGGATGGCACTCCAGTAAACTATGTTGCCTGGGCCCCAAATGAACCCAACTTTGCAAATAATGATGAAAACTGTGTGGTCATGTATTTCCGTACAGGTGAGTATAATATTACTATATCAGTAGTTTAATAGTTCCGCATTGCATGGCTTAGGTATATATGTGCAATATGGGTGTTTCTTGTAAGATAAGTTTTACCAATAAGTAGGCTCATGTTGAGTAGGATTTTCAAAAGCCCTTACCAGACTTGAGCATAAATCATACTGAAATCATTAGGACTTGGATTTCTAAATTACTCCTAAAAGTTCTCCCACCTCTTGCAATTAAGACATTGAACTAGGATTGAAATCTGAACTGAATTCTTACTTTCTGTATGACAGTGGACAAATTGCTTACAGCTCTGTTTCTTTCTACCCTTTTACCTGTTTTAAACATTGAAAGTGATAATCTTTTCACAACAGTTCATAGAAGGAGAGGAGAGGGCCTCAGTTTTATTTGATGCCTGTACACACTACTTGTAATGCAAATGATGACAAATTATAAACACTAGAAAACACTGCAAGGTGGAGTGTTAATTATATGTTATGTACTCAAGCCAGTACAATTTCTAAATGGCAGTGTGGATCTATAAGTGTGCATGTGTAGACTGGGCATTAACTAAATGTGTATATATGTGCATCCATGACTACATTTTATTCGAGGTATGAAAATCTAGACAATCAGAACCATGTGACTAGGGGCAGTTGTCCTCTAAGACAGGAGGCATGTCCTCCCATGTTTTAGCTACAATAAAACATGAGTAGAGCAACTTGCCCAGGAAGCAAGAGATATAGGATCTCAATCTCCTTGTTTACAGGGGTTTTAAGTTGCATCTCTGACTTTGCAGCATGGTCCTCTAGCCAACACACCACAATGCTTGAGCAACCATTGACTGAATATAGACATACATTTCTATGGGAATTTAAGAGAAATTCTTATCATTAGAAAAGCAATCCAAGAGTTGGGGTGTACATGCATTTGAGTCGGCTGGATGGAGAGCTACACAGGTGAGGTCTTCAGCCAGGGGGTACTAGAGAGCTGGTCCCTGGGCCACCGCTTTTCTTGGGGAAGCCTGTTACTGGACTGCCTGTCCTCTCCCCTGCCTGGGAAGGGGGACAGGCTGTCAATAGGCAGCCAATTGGGTTTTAAATTGCCTGGTGTGAAGCCCAGGTGGGTGGGACATGTGGCATTTAAAGCCCACTGGGCTGTGAACCAGGGTGGGAAGAGTTTTTTCATGCCTGGTTCCTGGCCCCCAGGGCTTTGTAATCTGGGTGCCATCATTTAAAGGGTAGGAACTGGGAACCTAGTGGCTAGGGTCCAGGGGACAATTTCACTCCATTTGAAAAGTTGCTCGAGCCCAAGCAGCCTTGCAGTGGTGCCATAGCGGTCTCTTGTCCATCTGTCCTTTCCTTCCCCAAGGCCTCCCAGTGGAGCAGGACTATGGAGAGCAGGAGATAATTCCTTCATATCTATAAGGATTCTTAAGCTGAAGCAGCCTTGCAGTCAGAGGGGAATTGTTTCTTGCTCCCCCACATACCTCCAGATGGAACTGGAGGGGTGTGGGGATGGGGCTTTTCTCTGGTGGTGGGAATCTTCCTGAGGCTCTAGGTGGGTTCCTGTCACAGGAGAATGGTCAACCCCCCAACCCACCAATCAGCTCATTGGCAGGATGGATGAGGGGGGCATTTTCTATCATCTGGAGCTCTCCCAGGATTCCAGGACTTCAGCCCTGAACCTGCCTCTTGCTGCAGTCCCAAGGGTCTGGGAGGATTCCCACCTCAAGGGAATGGCCCTCCTTCTTCTGCCATACAGCTGATTGGCAGGATAGGGAAACAGTCCCCACAGGGCTCCTTGACAGCTTGCCCCTGAGCAGAGGACTGTAGGACACTACATCCAGCACCCAGGAAAAGAATACAGATATTCAAAGTACTGTGGGAAGGGAATGATCTACCTGGTTCAAGGAGGTTGAATTTCCTTGTAAACACACTTTATGTCTTCCATAACAAAGCCCTTGATCATCTGTATACTTTCCTTCATGTCAGGTGAAAAGCTTTTGTCCTGGCAGAAATGTAACATATGAACAAGGCCATTATCTAGGCTGGTAGTGCTGGTATTCTTTTGAAACTGGCCCTTCTGTTGGGCAGCCAACAGAAAGAGGTATGTCACACCAGGAGGAAGACAGCAAGATGGTGTTGATGGTTTCTGGCCAGCAAGGCATCACCGAGTAGAAATTATCTTGCAACACTGTGTTCTATTTGTTTTATCCAATGACTAGGAAGTGCCAGGAGCAGTGGCTCAGCTTCAAAAGGAGTGACTGAGAAAGTTCAGGATCATACTTGGCATGTATTTGGTGGTTACAGCACTGTGCTGGGAAGTTAGAAATGCAAGTTCAAACCTCATTTGGGTGAGAGGGTGGCCTCAGGGTTGCCTATCAATAATTATTTTTTACTCATAGTCCGGAAACTTTTTACTGACATACGTTTTAAATAATGTAAAGGTAAGCACTCTGCTAGGCACTGGACAAGGCATGGTTTCAAATGTAGATGTATAACACCATCCACCATAGAAAAGTTTGGTTGTCAACAAAAAGCTTCCAGATTATCAATCAATAAATAAATAAATAAAGTCTTGGCTTGGCAACCCTGCTTGACTGCAGCAATGATTTTGCATCAAGGTGCCCCCACCTCAGGGCTTCCCTACTTCCCACACCCTGATGCCCCTGACTGCACCTTACATCATGCTGCCCCCACAGCCTAACCCCCACTAGCCCTACCCTGATCTTAGCACAGAGAAGGTCTACTGTATGCCTACCTGTGATCCAACAGTATTACAGGTAGACAAGCAGATGCAGCAAAAGCTGGGAGGGAAGGGGTTTCCAGGGCTACAGAGCCATAAGAGAATGCTTCATGCAGGGTGCTGTGTTCTCACTTAGACACTAGGGACACTTACAGAAGTTATCAAAGGGCACCTCAATCATGCTGTAACTTTTGGCACTTTATATAAAGTGCTTAAAGTTACAAAGTCATCACAAGTAACAGACATTTGGCATTTGATGGTGGGGGCTGGGTGCCTCTGTGCACTGGCCAAGGCCAGGTGGCAGGGGGTGCTGTAGCCTGGTTGGAAACAGTCATCTGGGAGAGCTGGCTAGCATTCATTTCTTTGTGTGTGTGTATATGTGTGTGGGAGGAGGGGCAGGGGCAGTGTGCAGGGAGCTCAGGGGCTGTGCCCCTTCTCTGCTAGTGTCATAGAGCACTGGGAACATTCTACTGCTGGGGTGTGGGGAGGGTCCTTGCTGGATTCCACTACCCCCAATTGCTGCCCAGCTGCTACCTAGCCTGTTTGGAAACAGCACACTGGGAGAGCTCTCGTCCTCTATCCCTCACTGCACAGGGAGGAGACTCCCTGCCACCTCCCTGTGGCAGACAAGGGGCATGACACTTAACCTTCTCAGAACTCTATAGAAGTTCCCTAAGGTGCTCTAATTTAGAACGCCTTCATTTATTACCTGATTTAATAAGGGTTAATTTTTTTGCATGATCAGCCATTTGAAAAATGTTCTGAAGCTGTGCATGTGCATTATGACTAGAGGTGCACCAATACGTTGGTCAATATCGTATCAGCACCGATAAAAGGAAAATTAACATTATCGGCTATTGGTTTTTTTGGCTGATGTGGCCAATAATGTCACCAATAAATGCCACATGCAAGTACGCAGCTGCAGCATACACATGGCCAGGTGTGCAGCCAGGCATCTTGGAGAGCAGTGTTTAGCCAGTCAGTCTGTGGAGGGGAAGGTGCGTGGGGGGGCCAGATCGAGGCCACGTGGTGGGGGAGGGAGTGGAACTGGGGCAGGGGCAGGTGCTGCCAAGCCAGGGTGGGGCATGGGATGGAGCTGTGGCTTGTCTGGGGGTCCTGGGGGTGCAGCTCCCACTACTGCATGCATCCTGGGGGAGGCATGTGCCCCCCAGATCTGTGTGAAGGGCGAGGGCAGGCTGCCACTGTGGGCTGGTGCTGGGGGCTGTCCTGGCCTCTTCCTGGTGGCTGTGAGGAGGGGGGCTATGGAGGGGGCTATGGTGAATTTTGGGGTTGGCTCTAGCCTCCCCATAGCTCCCCTCCCGGGGCCACCACTGCCGCCTCCTCTGCCCCCCCCTGCCCGGCCCAAGTGCAGCCACCAGGAAGAGCTGGATTTTATTAAAGGAAAAGAGAAACCCTAATTGAACAAATGAGCAATTTTAAAACAAAACAATTTTAGAAGAACTCTGAGGGTGCATCCAGACAAGCAAGCATGTGCCTATTGCGGCACCTCAAAGCAGTTTGAGATGTTGTAAGAGGCACGGTAAGAAAGAAAATGTCATATTTCGTATTTGTTGAATGTGAGTCACTGAATTTTGGGGGGAAGGGGATGGAGGGACAAATTAAAAAAAACAAAACAGCTCTACTTTCCATACCTTGGTTGTCTAGGGAAGGGACAGCATTTAGTTTCCATCTAAATCTCATCCATTGTACTCAGGAATGTGGAATGATCTCAACTGCGGAGTCAGCAAAAACTTCATCTGTGAAAGGCTAAACAGGACTGTTCGTTCAACAGTTGCTCCTACATCACCTGTACCTCTGGGTGGATGCCCTGAAAATTGGCTTTTGTTTAATAACAAGGTACAGTAACAAATATCTCCAGCATATTGTATTTGAAAAGGAATTGAATTTAGACAAAGAGATTCTTATTTTTATTGTTTAGTTTTGTACTGAGAATTTAGATTATCCAAAGATATATTCTGATTGTCTGACAAGACCATTCTGGTGATGCCACATCCAGATTTGAAGCACCTGAGAAATAGGTTTGTGAATTACTGTAAGTTTTAAGTGACTTCAATCCAAACTTTTAAAAAGTATTTAGATTCTGAAATGAGGGGGAATTGGGTACCTAAATACCTTTAAAATACTGTTTCTTTGGCCCTAGTACTAAAAAACATTTTGCTAACACTTAACTTTGGGTCAGGAAGAAGTGACCCTTAATTCTGATGCAATCAGCATTATACCAGTATAAAAATATAGGAGATTCATGATGCAGACTCTTGAACTGGGGTAACTTCATCCCATACACGGGAGTACTCTTCTTGATAGAATTGGGGATAAATCTCCACCATTGTAAGTTATCATGGCCAGATTTCATCAGTTTGCACCTTATCCTGGAATAATCATTTGCTCATGGCAAGCAGACTGTAAATAGATGTCTCATTTAAAACAGGCCTGATTTTCCAGGAGTTTGACATGCATCAAAACAGGTGCAACATCACCATTTAGCATGTTGCCCTTCCAACTTGCACTGCTGCTCTTCTGCCAGTAGGTGGTCAGTAGCCTGGCTGGATTGTCCAGGGAATGACCCATAATAACCCTACAGACATACATTGTGGTGTCCTGTGGAAAAAACAATAGCTCCTTTAACCCTGCATAATTCAGTGGACTTGTACATCTATAGGATCCCAGGATAAAAGACTTTGTTCTGGGAGAAATGTGACATTTACCCACAACCATAAAGTGTTACCTGATCCCCTGCCATCTACTGGTGAGCCTACTGTGGAAAAAATACACATCTGTCTATTACATTACCCCAGTATAATTTATGTTGAGATGTAAAATGGATATACATTACATTGGGGCATATGATCATTTGCCCTGGCCTTGAAAGATGACACAGTTAACAAATATATTCTGCTTGTGCTGTAGTGCTTACCTGTTCCAAACCATGTTCTCTGAACAAAATTGTTGATTATTAGTTGATAGAGAAAGAATGTAAAGTTGCTTCTTCATTAGACTGGATTAGAAGAACATTACCCATAAGAAGCCTTTTCCAAAAGGAGGCAAGCAGAATTAGATAATACAAAGCAAGCCTTCTTTCTTTGAAATGACCTACTTATACACAAAAGGTGGATCTTTATGCAAATACTTGTATCTCTACTCTACAATCAATGTATGACTTGTTTACATAAACCCTTGTTTCATTCTATCCGTCACTGTTATTGTAAGTACCATTGTACAGTGGTATTGTAAAGAGTTTGCTATGGTGCGTAACAAGGTTGCCAACCCAAGAAAATGTTTTTTATTGAGAAGTTGCAAGTTGCTTACTGACAACCAAACTTTTTAACTGACACTATGCCACCCTGCCAAAGGGTTCCCTCTTCACTCCTATACCCTGATACTCCTGACCACATCCTTTCCTTTTTAGATATGTAGATTTCATGGCCAAAAAGGGCCCATTAGATCACCTAGTCTGACTTCCTGTGTGATGCAGCCTATTGTATATATTTGTTTTGAGTGAAATTGTTTTGTTTGTTTGTTTGCAAGAGAACCAACAACGTGGCATCCAAACCTCAACAAAATTTTCTTTTTCAGTGTTTCAAATTGTTTGATAGCAATAAAAAAGAAGCACAGTCATGGCATGCTGCACGGACTACATGTACAAGTTTCGGAGGCAATCTGGTTACTGTATCAAGTGCAGAACTGCAAGGTATAGTGTGTACATTTTTTGATAACGGATCAGATAAAGAGGTCAACCAGTATCATGGAACAGCCATAAAATAGAGACCAAAAAAGAAAAAAAAAAGATACAGCTGCAGTTTCTGTAATACATCTTACTACTCTTGCTTATATGAGAAGTTGCATTTAATGATGGATGAGGTGTATGTAGTTTGAATACATTTAAATATACATATCAATGGTTTGCCTAAGTTTGAAAAGCACAATTTCAGCATAATAGTAGATCATAGATTATGGCTGCCACTATATCAGGGATTGTCAATGTGACTGATTTTTTAAATTTGTTTTGATTTTCTAAATTTCAAACCTTCAAATAATGGTAACGTGCATGTATATACATACTGTTCAGCATGAACAAAGATAGCAACATTGAGCTTCTGATTTAACTGCTATGGAAATCAGTATTGTCAGTGATTGGGGAAAAGTGCATTTAGTTTTCCTATTTGTAAAACTATTTGCTTTTTTTTAGCTTTCCTTATCACCCTCATAAAGGATGCCACAGATGAGGTCTGGATTGGAATGAATGATATAAATCATGAATACTTGTTCCTATGGACAGATGGAAGTGGTGTCTCTTATACAAACTGGGCAAATGGTTATCCAGATTATAGCTATCAGGTAAGTATTTAATGCAAGTTATCATTAAATCATTACATTTTTGGTAGGTAGATCAAACTGTGTGTGACCCACACAATTTAATGTATATAGAATTCAATATATTAATTGTTGTTGAAAGCAGAACTACCATGCTACAGGTCATCTTATATGTTTCTGGACATTCAGTTTGAAATATTTTTTTAAAAGGTCTGGATTGATAGTTGAATACTTCTTTATTTAAAATCAGTTTTTCTGAGATAGTAAACATTCAGGGCTTTAAAAAAAATGTAAGTTATCTTTTTATCCTATCCCTGTAATGCTGTATGAATCTTAATAAGAAGATGATTGGAACAAGGCCAATATTCTGCAGACTTAAATCCAGTGATTAGTTCACAAACTTAGTATCATAGAATCATGGGAAAGTTGGGGTGGAAAGGACGTCAAGAGGTCTTCTTGTCCAACCCCCTGCTCAAGGCAGGATCAGCCAACCTAGATAAGTAATAGTACAACCTGTTCTTAAACACTTCCGAGGATCTCTAGGTAATTTGTTTCAATGCACAGCACCATCTAAGGGAGAAAGTTCTTCAATAACAAACCTAAATTTCTCTTGTTGCTATTTAACATCATTTCTCCTTGTCCTGTTCCTTTTGATTGCAGAGAATAGTCTATCTGCATACACTTCATAGCTACCCTTCAACCACTTGAAGATTATTATCAAATTCCCCCTTAGTCTTTTCCTTTCCAGATTGAAAAATGCCAATTCTTTCAACCTTGGCCTTCAAGTCCTGCCTCCCAGACCTTTTATCACTTTTTGTTGTTCTCTGGTGGATTCTCTCCAAATTGTCTACCTCTTTCTGGAAGTGAGGTGCCCAAAACTGGGCACTTCTCCAGGTGACTCAATTGAGACTAGTCGGGTGATTCCTATAATTAAAGGTTTCCAGATGATATGCTAATGCTGAGTAATTTGGGAGTATCACAAGGATTCATTAGAATTTACTGAACTATTAACAGGTGGTTTCTGTTTATAAATGTGATTTACAGATATGCCCTACTACATAGATCTTACACATGAACGCAATTACATGAAATACCTTTTTTTTAAAAAAGGCAGAAGAAGAAGAATCAGGGTCTCCTATTTTTGTTTTATATTCTGTCTTTCATTTTATTAGATCTCGCTCCCTATTAGATCTATCTTCAGAATTACTCCACTGAAGGCTAAGAGGTTTTCCCCATCATCATCTCAACTTACTGTTAATTGCAGAACATAAAAGAGTACTGTTCAGTTGTGAATGAAATGGTTAATGTGAACTAATGGCTGGCTTTTCTACTTTTTTGTTCCTATTTTATCCTCTTGACTAAATATCTTTTTCACAATAAAATTGATAAGCAATTTGAACTGAAGGAGCCTCACACAACAGCTCTAGAACAATAAAGAACATGAGTGAAGGTGCTATTTGGTAAATGCTAGAACAATATAATATAAGCCCTGTTCAAATATGAAATGGCTTATTACAAGACTAGATTACATGGCCCTGAGGGAGTATAAGTAATAAAAAATAGATGCTTGATCGACCTGTCCGTGATAGCTTGGTCGTCAGATGTAGGAGGAAGAAAAGTGTTTTTTGTTTGTTCTTTTCTTCGTGCTCCTTAATGTATCATTTTCCTTCTTAGTCTGACTGCATCTTTATGACAAACAAAAATATTGAGGAGGCAGGGAAATGGAAAGATTCAGACTGTCAGGCTAACAAAAGCTACATATGCCAGAGAAATGCAGGTGAGTGCTCCTCCACCAGTCTTCTAAGTAAATAAAAATGAGGAAATGGTTGGATGTTTAAATTGCCTTCTGGACTGAACTCTCACTTTCCACATACACTGCATCAGCTCTGGCCTCTAAGTGAAATGCGTTTCAGAGCTTCGTATGAGCTCAAGAACATTTTGACAAAGCAAACAGGGATACTAATAATTTTTGCCATGGGTGCCAAAAAAGGCCCCTCACTCTTCCTGAGTGCCACTCCAATCCACTTCCTTTGCCAAACTGGCTGCTCAGCTTTCTGCTCCCTACTTTGTGGTCCTTGGCCAATCTCCTTCTCTGCTTTCTGTTTCCTACCTTATTTGGTCTTCTGCTGCCTGGCCCCTCCCTGATCTGCCATGTGCCCCACAGAGAGGCTACCTGTGCTGTTTGTGGCCTGTGTGTAACAGGTTGGATACCCCTGCTCTAATATTTGCAGCAGCTTGGCCTGTAGAAAAAGCCAGCAGGTGTCATGTAGCCCATCTGAACTAATCTTAGACACAACTGCAAAGGGATCAAGGCTGTTAGTCCACCTTCAGTTTGGCTTGATCCCTCCTCACCTTGACCAGCAGATCAGACCAGCAGATCCCATTCCTGCAACCAGCAAGACTTTTTTATGAAGCAGAGGGAAGTCCTTATTGCCACAACTCAGCAGAAGGTTGTTATGAAAGCTGTTTGGAGGGAACTGTTTTTGGCTTATATAATGTATACTGGATGGGAGGATTGAAAGAGGTGGTAGGGCTAAGGTAATAGGGTGATGGGGCTAAGATTGGGAGGGAGAAAAATGAACCCCTTAATATGCCAGCTCTCAGGAGGGGTAAGAAGGCTTGCTTGGAGAGACTTATTTAGGATTTTGAGAGAGGGGAAAAGGTCACTGGTTTGTAGATAAATCATGGTGGAGGGTACATTAATAGTTTTTCTTTTTTTTTTTACCCTGAGAGATTGAGGTTTGGTCTGCCTTGTCTACACTATTGATACACCAGATTTTTCAGCCTTGCCTAGACCATATTTTCAGCTGGAGCAGCACGCACCCCTCCCAAACCCTTCTTTTCTCATTTCATCATGGTGGGTGTTTTGGCCTTGCAGCCACCAGTACCATACATCCTGGGTGCCATAGGATCACAAGGGATCATAACCTGGAGGTTGCTCCCTTCTAATCCCCTGCATAGTTGCACTGTGGTTAAACAAAATCTAGTACTTATTCTAACAGCCAAATTTATGGAAGCACTGCATACTTTCATAGAGGAGGGGTATAACTTCATGGAGAAGTCTTGGTTGGGAGCAGAGTAGCTGAAGAGCCAAAGGCTACCACTTTTTATTAAAGCTCTTTGAGTCATGGTTGTTGTCACTGAAATGATGGTTTTACCACCCATTGCATCTTGATTTTTATTAGTGTTACATCTCTTAATCATTTGAAAACTGCAGACATTTGTTAAGTGATACAATAATTGCATAGACTATGAAACAACCATTTATTCCTTTATTTTCTTATTTTGCTACAGATCCTAAACTATATCACCAAACAACAGTTCCCATACCTGGCTTTATCCAATATGGTAACAGTAGCTATTCCCTCATCAGTTCCAAAAAGAATTGGGAAGAAGCACACAAAAACTGCAAGGCTGAACACTCAGAACTTGCCAGCATTTTAGATGCCTATACCCAATCATTCCTGTGGTTGCACATGTTAAAGTTTAAGGAGCCTGTGTGGATTGGTCTCAACAGCAATGTGGTAAATACATCAAATATACTTCATGTCAGAATACTTCTGCCCCATTTGTCACCAGATGATTGACTGTCTTGATTTTCAAGAACTGTTACTGTTGTACCCTTTCGTCTCGTAGTGGGCACTAAGCATGAGCAAGAATTCTTTGTTTTCATAGAGAAGTTACGCTGGAAGAGGGCTTCTAGATACCATCTAGTCCAACCAGGGATTGAACGTGTGACTTTGCTGTTATTAGCAGGATGCTCTAACCAACTGAGCTTCTAATGATATTAGTCTTCAAAAGCATCCAGAAAAGGAAGGGAAACAGGGAGATGTGGGAAAAGGATGTATAAAAAGGAGACACACTGTGGGCATGGTGGAGGATCTGTAAAAATGGAGTTGCAAGGAGGCTGAGAGGAGAGTAGAAGCTATAGGAATAGTGGGAGGTTGAAGGCACTGAAGAAAGCATGGTGAGCTGATGACAGGGAATTGTGGGATCAAGAAAGGGATAAACAAGCAATGGGTAGGAGATGCATAGTCTTTCTTCATAGAAATGATTTAGCAAAGTAGTGGAGGGTTCGCAAAACCTCAAGGCTTAATTCACTGAAGCAGGTGGGACATTCACCTAGAAGGAATTTTCACTGAGTGGGAGGAGCTTTGTACTCTAGTGGGGGTTGCTAAAGAGATTCAGTGAAGCAGTGTGTTCCCTAACTGCCTGGGTATCCCACAGATCTGAGCCAATGTCATGCGCTTAGGGTTTCATTGGTTCCCCGAACCTTTGGCAGAATGGAGTTTGCCAGCTGGCCATCTGAGGCTTCTTTCATGGCAGCCTACACAACCATAACCCAAATGTCTGCCATTGGCTTGGGAACATCCTGGACTGAATTCATGCCAGTTTGTTCCAGAGCAATGAGATATATATCTCATCTTGCTTATATTCTTTATTGTTATAACCATGTCACTGAAAAGAACTAGTGCTTCCATGGTTTGAAGCAAATGCATGTAATCACACAGACAAGTGGTTGCACCAGTTGCAGAGCTGAGTTTAACCCTCCCTGTGAATCTAAACTGGACAGCTAAATCTAATCTAACTGGACAGCTAAATCTGTCCAATTTAGCCAAGTCCTGAACCACAGAAAATCTCAGTTTGTAGGTAGTAAGTAGACTTGATGGATTTTGTTAGCTTAATTTCTTAACATTCCTTTTGTATCGGGCATTTTCAAAGCCTTCCCAGTGTCTGTGTATTACCAGGCTGAGCTTGCAGCTTGCCCAGAGAGCAAAGATCCCAGTTCCTGCTGCAGACTAAGACTGCAATGGCTAAGCCAAGGAAACTTCTCTCCTTTGTAACTGCTCCTTCTGGCAGCCAGAAGCTTCTTTGATGCCAGACCCAATAACCAAAAGCAGGCATGGTTGTCCTGTATTGTCTCTATATATCTTTTGCTCGCCACAAGGAGGAGAGAATGAGGAGCAGGAATAAGCTCCATTCTCTGTGAGGGGTAATATGTGGGGAGATGGAGAAGAAGACCAGAGGAGGGTAGGAGAACTGGATCTGTACAGAGCTGAAGCTGTATTGGGATCTGGATGGAGGGAAGAATAGGATTAATATACAGAGATAGGAAGACTAAGGGGGGAGCTAGGTTGGGATTGGGGATACTGGAACATGGAGGAAGCTGGGATGAGGGAGTGGCAGGTGTAGGGGGACTTGGACATGAACTGGGGGGGCAGTGGGCATGCTATAGTATTCCTGTGTTTCAACATTCCTCTACCATCAACAAATAGGTAGTGAAATCCAGAGACAAAATGGATGAAATGAGCCTATACAAAGGATAACAATGTACAAGTGCTATTACTTATTCTAGGCAGACAAGGTTCCTTGGGTGAATTTGATATCTTTTATTAGACCAAACCAAATAGTTGGAGAAGAGTTATTAAGCAAGCTTTCGGGTTCAAAAACCCTTCGTCAGGCTAAGGAAGTTTCAGCAGTTGGTGTGTGCTCTTCCTGGATGGACTTATTCTATTATTCTATTATTAACTCAAGTGTTGGAGGTCTTAGGCTGTGAATCTAAAGATTCTCACCCTGCTGCTGTATCATGTGGTAATTAATATAGTTCCACATGATCAAAGTTTTCTTTCTTTTAACTACTTATTCAGAAGAAACAAACTCACACAGAAAGAATGTTAAGAACATCAGCTGTACAGCCTTTGCATGGCTCCCTAGTGCATACACATTCTGATACCAATGTTAATTGCACAGTCATGTACTATTTTTGCCACAGGGACCCCTACCTCATTCAGTGTGCTGAATGGACATTTGCTAATAAATGACTTGGGTGCTGTAATATGTAAGGCTGTGGGATGATATGCCGCAGAGGATGGAAGTCATGTAGTTAATAAGGCCAGGATGAGAAAGGAATAGGCTGGTACAGGCCTAAGAATTGGAATTCTGTCTTGGCCTCTTCCACAGAGTTTGCTCAATAGTCACTACTTGTTCTGTCTATGGAATAAGATGGGGCTCTTCTTTCTACTATTTCCTAACAATTGAGAACCTGATTTTTCGGCACTACTAAGGTAATTTTTTGGATACTGTGTTATTTTACTTTCCATTTGTTTTTAGACTGGTGGATTTTACAAGTGGACTGATAACTGGAAACTAAAGTACCAGAAATGGGCCCATGAGGAACCAAAAAAGAAAATAGCCTGTGTCTATTTAGATGTGGATGGTTCCTGGAAGACAGGCTCATGTGATGAAGAGCATTTCTCCATCTGTAAACGGTCTGATGGTGAGCAACAGATTTAATTTAGGCCAAACATGTACTTTCAGTTAGGGAGCTTGGAATTTAAATGCCGTGATAGCTTGACTTGATTAATAATAGAAGGATGTTTCAGTAAGTAACAACAATTTTGAAATAAAACCATTTTATGTGTAATAAATGGGAAACTAAACAATAGCAGGGAACACTGATGATGGTGTTGTTGAATACACCTATTGTTTACAACTGTGTGCTGAAGTGATGTGGTCCAATAAATGATCATTACACACAAAATAGGTTTATTTCAAAATCGCCATTACTTTCTGAAACACCTCATATATATATATATATATATATATATATATATATATACACACCTCCCGTGTATGTGTGTGTATATATATATATGTGTGTGTGTGTGTGTGTGTGTGTGTGTGTGTATGATTAAGTTGGTTATATTTTTATTGAATAGAAAGGAATGTGATTATTGATAATGTGTGTGTTCCCTGATTTCACATTTATAAAAGAGTAGTGGTTTTATAATAGAACATGGTTTCTTAACAGTTAAGCCCCCTCCTGATCCACCGCAACTCCCTGGAAAATGTCCTGCAGAGAAAAAAGGCAGATCCTGGATTCCTTTCCGTGGTCATTGTTACTACATTTATATCTCATCTAAAGAAAACTGGTCTGGAGCTTCCATGGAATGTGTTCGACTAGGTGGGTGTCAGCTTTTATTAGGAAATAACAATAGAGGATATTGGTAGGACTCCAGAGAAATATTTGTTTCCATTCCTTGCAAATTGATAATATATTCAAGGCAAAAACAAAACTAAACAAAAACAAACAACCCTCCCTCCCCCCCCCCCCCCCCCAACTGGTCAGCAATACTGAATGTCAAAAGGAAATATTTGAGAGAGTTGGTAGGGAATTGGGAATGAAAAGTAGTGCCTTGTCTCTCCTTCCTTTTCAGACTAAAAAACTGGAAAACTTTTTTATGAAGCCTGGGTGGAAGAAAGCAGCATATATATCTCATATATCACATACCCCCAGATAAGATATGTACCTTATTTTTGGCGAAGCAGAATTAAGAAAAAAAGATTTACCAGTGTCTTCCCTGCCATAGCATGGGATCACCATGGCTGAATGTTCACAGCCTCTGGTAAATTGGCAGCAGCCTTAGGACTGGATTCCAACTTCCCTCCATGTGGCTGGAGGAGAGAAGTAGAAGCCATTACAGGGATTTTGTTCAGGCACAGAAGATCTGTTTCCCTGCTTAAGACATGCAGTGCTTGAAGGGCTGAGTTTTGGAAGAAAGGTGTGTGTAATATGGAAGTAAATACACTATTCCTCTGAAAAACTTTCATCTTTCTTTCTTAGTACCAACTATTACCCATTTCAAACTAGCTTACATCTTCCTGTTCCTTTCTACCATCTTTGAATGGTACTGTGGCAGGGCACTGTTTGTGCCTGCCACTTTAAGCTAGCAGCCAGCAGGTGCCTGATGAGGGCAGCCATTTTGGATTCAGGGCTGCCCATATAAACAGGGCATTTTACTGCTGGAAGGCCAGGCAACAACACTGCCTGGCTGGAGGGCTGCAGGTATCATCTGGAGGTAAGGGAAGAGCTGTAGGGGATGGTCAGGAGGCTCCTGGTCCTAGGCATGACCTAAAACTGCACCCTGCCAGGAGTGGGTGGCCTGGTGGGGCTCTCGGTGGCGCGGGAGCCCCCAGGAAATACAAGGCCAGTTACCACCCCGGTGAAAGGTAGGTCAGGGCACCTTAACCCCTAGCCCCCACAACTGGGTGGGTTACCCCTTTGTAGGATCTGGAAGGAGGACCCCAGTGAGAGAGTGGGGCCATAGACTCAAACCTGTCTTGACATCCCCGACTGGTCCATGCTGGGGCCAGGACCGGAAGGGTCGAAGGGCCAGGGGCCCACCGTGAGGAATGCCCAAGGGCTGCACGCTTGGGGTTCCAACTAGCTTGGAGGTGGGCCAGGGCTAGTGAGCCAAAGGTCCCGGGGGGACCACACCCATAAGGGGAGCAGCTCAGGGAGCTATGCAGCTGGGAATGAAGGCAGAATAGGCTGCCTGAATGGAGGGATCTAAGTGGGGTCCAACTAGTAGGATTCTGTGGCCCAGCGCAGGGCTGGCGATATGGATAACATCTGGATGCCATCTGCTAGGTTTGGGCTGTGGCTTATGGGAGGAACAGAGCCGCAGATAATGCCCCCTGGCATCGGGGCAAAAAATGGGCAGCCTCCTGTTTTATTAACATCAATTAAATAATTAACAACAAGGCATGGCAGATGAGAAGGCGGGAGGTTAGCCGAGAAACAGGTGGGTGGGCCACAAGGAAATCAGCCCCGAGAAGGCCCCCTGTCACAGGCACCTAAGTGCCTAAGTGTACTTCCCATACATTCACCAATAACCTCAGCTACCAAAGACTAGCTCCTTGCACCCTAGTTTTGCTTCTTTTGGCTCATTTTCCCTTTCTCCCCGTCTATAGTTTGGTCTCTATACATCTTGTTCTGCTTGTTCCTCCTTCCCCTATCAGCTGGGTTCTGCTACCCTTTCATAAAGCACAGGGAGCATAAATGTGAGGTATTTGTATTTATCTATTTTGAGGCTATTGATCTGCATTCTCTGGGACTGTTGATAAACTACACTGAGGAACGCAAAAACAACCTTGAAGAGAAGGCACTTTTATTCCGAAGATCAGAACATAGGGGCTACATTCTGCTGTTGATGTATATCTGGATCATTTACTGGTTTCATTGCAACACCAATTACAAGATTCAGCTAATTTGCATGTATTGTCAGTCTTAAAAAAATCAGATCATAATTATTGTTTCAAAGAGTGGATCATATAGAATGGTGAAACTTGCTTGAATTATGCTTAGTTATTTATAAATGTCTTTCAGGTTCCTCACTGGCTACTATAGAAGATTCAGCTGAGATGAATTTCCTTTTTAATCACTTGCATGCATTTTCAAGTTATTCAAGCCAGTTCTGGATAGGACTGTACAAAAACGTGGATGGTAATAATTTCATTTTCAATATTTAGTTGCAAATAAATACTCAGAAGTAAACTGATGGACTCCAGCTAGGAGCAGATTGAGCCATTTCAAGGTGGGTAGGGGGGTGGCGCCACATCCCCACTGCTGTGAGCAGAGTAGGCTGATCCATCTTGGGGGGAACATTGCCTCTCTGCTGTTGCTTGCACTGGCTCTGCTCCTACCCTGCTTGGACCAACTTGCTCTGCTCCTGGCAGAAGCAGAACCAGTGTGAGTGGCAGCAGGGAGGCAGTGCCCCACTGCTTGGACTGGCTTGCTTTCCTCCTGGCAGGAGCAGAACTGGAAGCAGAGCAGGTCCAAGGACATCAGGAGACACTGTGGCTGCTGGGCACTCTGGGGCTGCAGCACTTGCTCTGCCTGGTGGGAGCAGCAAGTCTGTCTTTCCCTTAGCTCTTAGTCCTGCCTCTCCTCACTAAGCCTCTAGTAGCAAGTCACAGCTGTTCAAGTGAGAGGCAGTCAGAGCAGGGTTTTTGCCTTACCATGTGACTGCTTCCATTGAGTCAAATAGCACTCAGCCAATTAACATTTGTTTGGTTTACAGCATAAGGTCTAGAAAGGCCCTTGGAAAGGAAAAAAAAATCCAGATGATTTGTCAGATAGGCCTGTGCGAAGCAGCTAGTATTTGCTTTGGATTCGGATTTGGCCGATTCAGGTGACAGTGATTTGATTCAGTGATTTGAAACACTGTCCTGAATCAATTTGTCCGAATCTCTGAATCAACCAGACCCATCCTCTACCTGCTCTCCCAGTCCTGGCAATGGCTGCCTCACCTGCCCCAGCT